TTTTGAGACGGAGTCTTGCTCTGTCACCAGGCTGGAGTGCAGTGGCATGATCTTGGCTCACTGCAATCTTCGCCTCCCACGTTAAAGAGATTCCCCTGCCTCAGTCTCCCACCCACCCGAGTAGCTGGGACTACAGATGCTCGCCACCATGCCTGGCTAATTTTTTGTATTTTAGTAGAGACAAGGTTTCATCATGTTGGCCAGAATGATCTCGATCTCCTGACCTCATGATCTGTCCACCTCGGCCTCCTAAAGTGTTGGGATTACAGGCGTGAGCCACCGCACCCAGCCTATTTCAATGTATTCTACATTAAAATAAAAAATTCAGTGTGCAAAAATGAAGACTTTAAGTTGTATTTTAAACTCACTCTAGGTAGGACACGGTGGCTCACACTTATAATCCCAGAACTTTGGGATAATCAGACGGGCAGATTACCTGAGGTCAGGAGTTCAAAACCAGTCTGGCCAACATGGTAAAACCTTGTCTCTACTAAAAATACAAAAATTAGCTGGGTGTGGTGGCACACGCCTGTAACCCCAGCTTCTGGGGAGGGAGGCTGAGGCAAGAGAATTAGTTGAACCCAGGAGGCAGAGGTTGCAGTTAGCTGAAATCATGCCACTGCACTCCATCCTAGATAAAAGAGTGAGACTCCGTCTGAAACAAATAAAATAATAAATAAATTTAAAAAAATAAACTCACTTTAAAGCATGACCATGGCACAACAGAATGTTAATCCAGGTCAAGCATCCCTAATCTGAAAATCCGAAATCCAAAATGCTCCAGAATTGGGAACTTTTTCAGAGCCGACATGATGCTCAAAGGAAATGCTCATTAGCGAATTTTGAATTTCGGATTAGGAACGCTCAAAAGCTAAGTATAAAGCAAATATTCCAAAATTTAAAAAAATCTGAAACACTTCTGGTCCCAAGCATTTTGGATAGGGATACTCAACCTGCACATACCATTAAAATAAACCAACAACTACAAATCCAGCAACATGAAGAACAGTTCACTGATTTATTAGATGAACGTATACCCATATAATCAATGAAAACTGTATGATATAAAATAATTTAAAGACATGTTGGGAATTTGCAGCACCATCTGTTATTGAAATAGCAAGGAAAACTTCACATATTTTAAGCAAACACGAGAAGGCAGTAACTACTTTAAGACCTAATAATGTCATTGGTCTGGTATGAAAAAGAAGGGAATTGTTTTCGGCAAACACACTTCCTTCTATGCCAAAGATTTAGTAAGCATATCTGATGATTAAGGTTTTAGAAAAATGCTACTGATGTAAAAGATACTGCATAGTATTTTAATTGGGACAAGACTTACTGTAGCATGGCTCAACACTTCTATGAAAAATTTAGTTCTGAATTATGAAATCAGAAATTAAAAATGTTTGAAAGATACTTGTCTCTAAGAAACATGAAGTGAAACACAGGTCACTATGAAAATACATCACTTTTCCAGCCTGCTTAATAATTTACTTTAAAAAGTTGCGCAGTTTTCAAGACAAGTGGCTTATACAAATTTTTTAATAAGCATTTTAAAAAGTTTAAATGTTTTTCTAAAATCTAATAGATTCTTTTGATTTCTTTAAACATTTAGCCCTGTTGTCACGATTACTGTGTATCAGAGTAACAGACTGAATTTGTGTGGATACAAATGTATACAAATTTTACAGCAACTTATACCCTAACATCTATAAAATTCACATTTATAATACAAGCAAGTACAAGGCCAGGATAAAACTGCTGAATTCCAAAAAGTCAAACTGTATATTCTTTTAATTTTGTCCCCTTAAAAAAAGTTCAACTTCGGCACCAAATTTAAAAAGCCCTCTTATATCCTAAGTTTGGAAAAACCTCATTTCCCAGATGCATTTCAGCAAACACAAACAGTTTTCCTGTGTTGATGGAGTAAAGGATTTCCAATTTTCTTCTGGCCCCTAAGTCTGCGTCGCATGGTGAGTTTAACAGAGTTCTTTCGCTGTGAGGTTGTGGGGAGATTTGCAGGCCGAGCACCACTACTTCGACTTAAGCCATTTCGTCTATGCTTCTTCATCAGGGGGCCAGAATTGGACTCTTCTAATGTCCTTTTAAAGTTTGTTGGAGGGGTTCTTTCAATTTCTTGGGCTTTCATTTGGCCAGGAGTTGACATCTTCAAATTTTTTTGGTCCATGACAGTGTTTGTTGAATTAGTAGGCACAAGGCCAACTGGCAGGCTATTATTCAAAGAATCATGTATCCTTAAAGTCAGGGCTTTAGCACAATTTTCTTCAAGTGGTTCTGGATCTTTTGAGGGCATGACTACACCCTGGACATTCCCTCGAGCTATCTCAGCTGGAACCTCTAAAAAATTCTCTGAGAAGGCATTGCTACGAACCAGGGCAGGTATATGGTCCTTGGAGTTCAGTCGTGGCCATGAATCCTCCTCCAGTGACTGAAAAATAAGGTAAAACAAATAAGAAAAAATTTATCCTAGAACTCAACAACCCTATGCATGTGATATTAGGCTTCTTATGAAGCTATTAGGATGGCAAAACATGGTATGCATTCGCTAATTCGTTCACCACCTATTTACTAAACTATGTGTAAAGTTTAATGGGAGGAACCTGAGTGAGAAGACAACATAAAGTAAGAGTGATTCACACCTGTAATCCCAGCACTTTGGGAGGCCGAGGCAGGCGGCTCAAGAGGTCAAGAGATCGAGACCATCCCAGCCAACATCATGAAACCGCATCTCTACTAAAAATACAAAAAATTAGCTGGGCAAGGTTGCACGCCCCTGTGGTCCCAGCTATTCGGGAGGCTGAGGCGGAAGAATCGCTTGAACCCAGGAGGCGGAGGTTGCAGTGAGCCGAGATCATGCCATTGCACTCCAGCCTGACGACAGAGCAAGACTCCGTCTCAAAAATACTAAAATTGGAACGATACAGAGAAGATTAGCATGGCCCCGGCGCAAGGATGACACACAAATTCGTGAAGCGTTCTAAAAAAAAAAAAAAAAAAAAAGTGACATTGAAATCTGTCTTCAGGGTAATAAATGAAATTATAAAATAATCTATTCAAGTGGGTGAAAATTCCTGTGGTCACAAGTTTTTCTGTCCACTGGCAGGTAACCAAAAATAAGACACATTAAAGAACAAGATTTCAAACCAGACCCTCAAAATTAACCATAGGCACACATTCACTCTTCCACTATTCTATACCCAAACATGGTGAAGATCAAAAGTATCACATACTCTGTGTATACCTTTTTTTTTTTCTTTTAAAGACGAGGTTTCACCATGTTGGTCAGGATGGTCTTGAACTCCCGACCTCAGGTGATCCGCCCGCCTTGGCCTCCAAAGTGCTTGAATCCAAGCGTGAGCCACCATGCCCGGCCAGTGTATGTTTTAATTTTACTTTTGGCAATAACATAATGCTGATGAAATTGCTTAGTTGTTTTTCAGAAAAGCCTTATATTTTCCATAAGAACCATCAAAAAAATAATTTAAGATGCCATTAAGTGCTTGCTACAGCAGCACATATACTAAAATTGGAATGATACAAACATTAGCATAGCCCCCGTGTGAAGATGACACAAATTCATGAAGCATTACCTATTTCAAAAAAGAAAAAAAAAAAAAAAAGCTTTTAAAAAAAATCTCAATTTTTGGCCAGGTGCAGTGGCTCACCCTTATAATCCCAGCACTTTGGGAGGCCGAGGCAGGCAGATCATTTGAGGTCAGGAGTTCAAAACCGGCCTGGTCAATGTGGTGAAACCCCATCTCTACTAAAAGTACAAAAATTAGCCAGGCATGGTGGTGCATGCCTGCAATCCCAGCTACTCTGGAGGCTGGGGCAGGAGAACTGCTTGAGACAGGGAGGTGGAGGTTGCAGTGAGAAGAGATCGTACCACTACACTCCAGCCTGGGTGACAGAGTGAGACTCTGTCTCACAAATAAATAAATAAATAACAAAAATTAAAATCTCAATTTTCTAGTAATGAAAACTAGTGTAACCACTGGGGGGATGGTAGCACCTCGGTGGGATAAGCAACAAATTTGTGGTTTTTTTGTTTATTTCCTATCTCCTAAATTCTAATTTTTGAGTATGTAGTGTGGAAAACATTACAACATTAAAGCACATTATTATAGCAAAGTACAATATTAAAGCAGCTATGTCATAATGGAAACTCAGATGAATGTTTCTTTGTACCCATCCTGCAAACACTAGATACTGTCCTGTGATCTGAGAAAAGTAGTACACATGGGCCCCTACTGAAATGGTTAGGGAAACTCCCAGTTGATGAAACAAAAGAGAATTATCGAGGGCACTTACTGTTCTTAAAAATCCTGTTTTAAAAAACCTTCATGTCAATCTAGACAGATATGCACCACTACTTTGGGTGTAGTGCTCTAAATCTACATATACGCAGAATATCTGCTCATCTCCAGATAAGAACATTCTTACTATCAAACCCAACTCTTCCAAACTAATAACATTTCACAAAATCATTGTCTTAATAGTTTATCAAGGTCCAGAGTTAAAGCATAAATACTCTCTCCCCCAAAACATGTAAAATTTTCCTCAAGTGGACTCTCAATCAAATTTACTACAATTCTAATAGATTTTGAAAAGCCCAAGCAATCCTTTTGTAGAGTGGCAAAATAAAGACATATTGATCTTTCTCTGATATAAAATCCTCTATTAATAAACACCTTTCTTAAAAGTGCTATATAAAAGTGTACTTATAATAGGAATGTTTCCTTTGTCTAGAATTAAAAGGAAAGGAAAATAAGAAAGGCAGGGAGGTTCAAAAATAAAAGGGAAACTGAAGGCACCCAGAAGCTTCTTTTTTTCTTTTTTTGAGACTGAGTCTTGCTCTGTCACCTAGGCTGGAGTGCAGTGGTACAGTATCTGCTCACTGCAACCTCTGCCTCCTGGGTTCAAGTGATTCTCCCTCAGCCTCCCGAGTAGCTGGGGATAGATGTGTCCGCCACCATGCCTAGCTAATTTTTTGTATTTTCAGTAGAGATAGGGTTTTACTATGTTGGCCAGGCTGGTCTCAAACTCCTGACCTCAAGTGATCCACCTGCCTTGGCCCCTCAAAGTGCTGGGATTATAGGGGTGAGCCACTACACCTGGCCCAGAAACTTGTTTCTAAAATGATCTCAATCTAACCACAAACATTAATATGCTTTACTAAAAAACCCATATATATTGACTTTAGGACCAATGGACACTGAAGAAAAGAACAAAGAATTCTCAGTTACTAACAGGAATTCCTCTATAAAAGAAAAATAATGGGATGATTTCAGAGTTAACATAATATATTGTAATTTCTGTTTAGCTGTGTGCCTTTTTCTGTCGCCAGGCTGCAGTGCAGTGGCATAATCTCAGCTCATTGCAACCTTCCCCACCTGGGTTCAAGGGATTCTCCTGCCTCAACATTCCAAGTAGCTGGGACTACAGGTGTGCACCACCACCCCCAGCTAAGTTTTGTAGAGATGAGGTTTCACCATGTTGGCCAGGATGGTCTTGATCTCTTGACCTCAAGATCCGCCCGCCTTGGCGTCTCAAAGTGCTGGGATTACAGGAGTGAGCCACGGCACCCGGCCAGCTATATCTTTTTAAATGCATAGATTATTATTATTCTGACACTACAGGTATGCTGGCTTCCCTTCCCCCACTTTCTCCTTGAACTTTTCCTTTTCCTTCTCTTTTTATTGGCATTTGGTGGGAATACATTGCATCTGTTAGCACAGGCAACTGTTTAGACTTTTTAGACTTACCCCAGATTGATTTGTATTGCTAAGCCCTGCATGTTCATAAAACAGTTATGTTATATTGAGGTTGCCCCCTAAAAATACATACTTTAAAAAAGTTCACTGCTTCAGAGATCAACTTTCTCCTCCCATCTACCCTGTAATCCAATATTAAACAATTAATTACAAACTGGTGCCTAACACACAACTAAATCTTAAGTTTTAATTTTCTGAATCTCTTTCCTCTCTTCTCCATTCCTTTCTTATAAATCTTAGCTTGTAAAATATAGCTAAATTTAGTTTTGCCCTAAACAAAGAGAAAGAAATGTGAGTCACGGTGATCTACCACTTAAACAAAGGCTTTTCCACTATCTTCATCCCAAAACAAAGGCTAATTTATGTCAGAATTCAAATGGAAGTTGACATGTTTACAGACAAATCTAGTCTCAAATGCCTAGTGTGAATGTGAATAAGTCTCTGAAACTATTCAACATTATCCAAACAATCATTAAATTTGTCTCTACGCACCGGGCGTGGTGACTCACGCCTGTAATCCCAGCGCTTTGGGAGGCTGAGGCAGGTGGATCACCTGAGGTCAGGAGTTCGAGACCAGCCTGACCAATATGGTGAAACCCTGTCTTTAAAAAAAATAAAAATAAAATAAAAATAAATTTATCTCTATGCTACTAAACATGAGATAACTTTAATAATGATATAAATGATATAGATAAAATATAGTCAGGAATATTCAACTTTATGTCAATTAAGGTAAATAAAATAAACCAAAAACAATTTCTGGGCAGAAATTTGTCTTTGTTACTTGTTAGATCAGAGCCAACAATATTAATTATTCTGAATTAATCTAAATATTTTCCTGTATTTGGGCAGGGCCAACTGGTTAACAAATAACTATACCTGCATATAAGTTTTGGCATACATACATCTCCTTATCTTTACTTTGTTATTATTATTAGGTCACTATCAGAATTTAAGTAATTTTTAAAATATATTTTATGTATGGGTTTACTAATGCCAATCAGTAGACTGCAATAATTTTTATTTGGGGTCAATATTAAGAATGCCCTTTTGGGCCGGGCATGGTGGCTCACACCTGTAATCCAAGCACTTTGGAGGCCAAGGCGGGCAGATCACCGGAGGTCGGGAGGTCAAGACCAGCCTGACCAACATGGTGAAACCCCGTCTTTTAAAAAAAATATATGCATATACATATACATATATATATATATATAAAAGAATGCCCTTTTGTCCCTCACACTGTTCCCCACCCTAATGTCTCCTTCTCTATACTACCTAAAGGTCAGTTTATAAGGGAACATAAAAGTAATAATTACATACAAATATTCAGAAATAGGCAAATACACAAACATAAGCTCCTTCACAGCTTCAAAAAGAAAATAAAGGTTTTAAAAGGTTTCAACGTGCATTACCATTCAGTTTTCAATGAAAGCTTTTGTAAATTAAAATACTCCATTTTGGCAGGGCACAGTGGCTCACACCTGTAATCCCAGCACTTTGGGAGGCGGATGTGAGTGGATAACCTGAGACCAGGAGCTCAAGGCCAGCCTGGCCAGCATGGTAAAACCTCATCTCTACTAAAAATACAAAAAATTAGCAGGGCGTGGTGGCAGGTACCTGTAATCCCTGCTACTTGGGAAGCTGAGGCAGGAGAATTGCTTGAACCCAGGAGGTAGATGTTGCAGTGAGACAAGATCATGTCACTGTACTCCACCATGGGCCACAAGAGTGAAACTCTGTCTCAAAAAAAGAAAATATTCCATTTAATCTGACCATATGTGTTTTTTGCCATATGTATGTAAAGTGAAAGAAAGCCAAGCAGTGACAATACATTTCCAAATACTGACTACAGGATTACAATGCCCAAATTTAAAGGCCTCTGACACTTTAAAAAAACTGCCTGAATAGATGACATTAGATTTTGCTATATTTCCCATTTTAATGGTCAGTCTACTGAAAACACATTCTCAGAAGGCCAGATTAGCCATACTATATATTAAAGCAATTATCAATCAATATTGCTAATTTTTATTGGGAAAAAATTAGGATGAAAACACAACCAGGTATTTGAATTCTTAGTAAATCAAAACAGGAAAGTATGATATCAACTTAAAATTTGCTTATTTCACAGCATATCTTACACTCATTCAATATTAACATGGATAAAAAACAGGAATAAGATTTATTCTTTTTTTTAGACAGAGTCTTGCTCTGTCACCAGGTACCAGGCTGGAGTGCAATGGCACAAACTTGGCTCACCGCAACCTCCACCTCTTGGGTTCAAGCAATTCTCCTGCCTCAGCCTCCCAAGTAGCTGGGACTACAGGTGTGCGCCACCACGCCCAGCTAATTTTTATATTTTAGTAGAGACGGGGTTTCACCATGTTGGCCAGGATGGTCTCGATCTCTTGACCTTGTGATCCGCCTGCCTCAGCCTCCCAAAGTGCTGGGATTACAGGCGTCAGCCACTGTGCCCAGCTGAGGAATAAGGTTTCTTATACAAGTTAACAGACAACCAGTTCTAATGTCTGCTATCCTCAGGTCCAGCTCAATCTTGATTCTCTACGACCTTGTTTGGACAGTTTAATCTCTCGGGTTTATTACTGATAAAATGAAATAATAACATTTGCTCTACTTCTGGACTATGAGATTCAAATTAAATATATTTAAGTGCTTCACTAACTTCTAAATACTTTAAAAATAATGTTCATGGCATCAGACGGCAAACAATAATATTTTTAAGGAGCCAAAATCACCTTTTTATTAGTTCTGTACACACAGCTGGCATTCAGATTAGTACTGATGTAAAGATGGCTCTTTGATAATAAGTTACATCACTTTGTTGAATCGAGTTCAAATCCAAAATCCTGTAAGAATTTAAAAATTGTTTCCAGGTGACACTAACCAAAGAATTGATGACAACTAAAATATAACTTAAAAACTATGGAACTATATACCTTTACTGGTGGTGTAGAACATGGGGAAGGAGTCATCACACAGGTTTCTTGACTATTATAGGAAGGGCTATCAGTCAGGTTCAGATATAACTCATCTTCATTGGTAAAATTTCCCTGATTGTCCACTTCTGGAGAGATGCAGATTACTATGGCACTAGTGTTATCTGCTCGGAGCATACGCTGTCTCCAGCGGCCTAATGCTCGATTCACAAGCATTTTGGCACAAGATTGTCCGTGCTCACCCTGTATTCAAAAGAACAAGGAGAAGGAAAGTAACTCAGATTTAGCTGCCACTACATCTATATCAAATTAAATAATTGGTGTTCATTGTGGCCTAAATAAAGCTCCCAAATTTTCACACATTATCCCCAGTCTCCTTAGCTATATTAAAATAGTACTTTTCTGAATTAAAACAAATGCTAACAAAACATGGTTTCAGACTGTCATTAAATTTCACTCAGATGTTATTATCAAGAAACTCAGCCTTCACTGTAACTTTAATTAGAAAAAGTTATAAAAAAGTTACTTAAAAAGAAAGTAAACATCAAGTTATTTAGAAAACATAATTCACAAACAAGACAATCAGGCATGGTGAAAAAAATCATTACAGAGGATCAATTTCCTCCTAACATAAGAGCTTCTGCAAATTGAAAACAACGACTCAACATAAAAATTGTCAAAGGATATAAACAAAATCCAGAGAAAAGGAAATACAAACAACTTATATGTGTGTGTGTGTGTGTGTGTGTGTGTGTGTGTGTGTGTGTTTATACATATAAACAGTCAATGTCACTCATATGGGGAAAAAATAACACGGTAACTGCTTATAGTATGGAGAACAGGCCGGGCGCGGTGGCTCACGCTTGTAATCCCTGCACTTTGGGAGGCCGAGGCGGGTGGATCACGAGGTCAAGAGATCGAGACCATCCTGGTTAACATGGTGAAACCCCGTCTCTACTAAAAATACAAAAATTAGCTGGGCATGGTGGCGCATGCCTGTAGTCCCAGCTACTCGGGAGGCTGAGGCAGGAGAATTGCTTGACCCCAGGAGGCGGAGGTTGCGGTGAGCCGAGATTGCGCCATTGCACTCCAGCCTGGGTAATAAGAGCAAAACTCCGTCTCAAAAAAAAAATAAAATAAAATAAAAAATAAATTAAAGAAGTATGGAGAACAAATATATACCAACCAAATGAGTAAAGGAAACAAAACCAAAAGGATCTCATTTTATGCAAATAAATGTGGCTTGGAATAAAACTTTCAGTGTCATATATAAATTTAAAATCTGCTAGGTTTCACAGAATAGAAATGAAAATGATGTACTCCAGAAAATAAGCCTACATGGTTTTTGTTTTGTTTTTTTTTTGAGATGGAGTTTTGCTCTTGTTGCCCAGGCTGGAGTACAATGGTGCGATCTCAACTCACTGCAACCTCCGCCTCCCCAGTTCAAGCAATTCTTCTGCCTTAGCCTCCCTAGTAGCAGGGATTGCAGGTACCCAACACCACACCCAGCTAATTTTATTTATTTATTTATTTATTTTTAGTAGAGATGGAGTTTCACCATGTTGGCCAGGCTGGTCTCGAACTCCTGACCTCAGGTGATCCACCCGCCTCAGCCTCCCAAAGTTCTAGGATTACAGGTGTGAGCCACCGCGCCCGGCTGCCTACATGTATTAAAAGTACCTGAAGAAATAAATGAACGATGAAAAAGAGTGGAAATCTGTTTGTTTGTTGTCTTTGAGACAGGGTCTCCCTCTGTCACCCAGGTTGGAGTGCAGTGATGTGACCTCGGCTTACTGCAGTCTCAACCTCCTGGGCTCAAGTGATCCTCCCACCTCAGCTATTCAGAAGGCTGAGGCAGGAGAATCAGTTGAACCCAGGAGGTGGAGGTTGCAGTGGGCCAAGTTTGTACCACTGCACTCCAGCCTGGGTGACAAAGTGAGATTCTGTCTCATAAACAAAAACAAAAGCATGTTATTTGAATAGATGCCGAGAAAGCATTTCATAAAATTGAACATTTCTTTTATGATAAAAAACCCCTCATCAAAGGTGAGTATAGTAGATATATACCTCAAAATGACAAACCCACAGCTAACATCATACTGAATGGGGAAAAAAATTGAAGGTCTTTCCTCTAACGACTGAAATAAACAAAGATGCCCCACTCTCACTACTGTTACTCAATACAATACTAGAAGTTGCCTGGCCGTGGTGGCTCACGCCTGTAATCCCAGCACTTTGGGAGGCTGACGCACGTGGATCATTTGAGGTCAGGAGTTCAAGACCAGCCTGACCAATATGGTGAAACTCTGTCTCTACTAAAAATACAAAAATCAGCCAGGTGTGTTGGTAGGCACCTGTAATCCTACCTACTCAGGAGGCTAAGGCAGGAGAATCTCTTGAACCCAGGAGGCAGAGGTTGCAGTGAGCCAAGATCGTGCCACTGCACTCCAGCCTAGGAGACACAGCAAGACTCTGTGTCAGGAAAAAAAAAAAAATACAAAACTGGAAGTCCTGGCCAGAGTAATTAGGCAAGACAAAGAAATAAAGGGAATCCAAATTGGAAACGAAGAAGTCAAATGAGCCTTGTTTGCAGATAACATGATCCCCTACCTATAAAAACCAAAAATGCCACCAAAAAAACTGTTAGAGCTGATAAATGCAGTGACATTACAGGACACAAGATCAACATACAAAAATCAGCAGCATTTACTATACTAACAGCAAACAATCTGAAAAAGAAATCAAGAAAGCAATCCCATTTCCAACAGGTATACAAATAATAAAATACCTAGTAATCAATTTAACCAAAGTTGTGAAAGATCTATAAAGGAAAACTAGAAAATACTGATGAAAGAAATTGAAGAGGACACAAAAAAATAGAAAGATGGTCCATGCTTATGGACTGGATGGATTAACACTGTTAACATGACAATAGTGCCCAAAGCAATTTAAAGATTCAATCCCTATCAAAATTGCAATGACATTCTTCACATAATTTTTTCTTTAAGCTCAGAATTTATATGGAACCACAAAAGATCCTGAATAGCCAAAGCAATTCTAAGCCAAAAGAACAAAGCTGGAGGCATCACACTACCTGACTTCAAACTACACAAGAGAGCTACAGTAACAAAAATAGCATGGTATTGCTACAAAAACAGACACATAGATCAATGGAACAGAACAGAGAACTCATATATAAATCCACACAATTTGCAGCCAGCTCATCTTCAACAAAGGTGCCAAGAGCAACAATAAATGGTGCTGGGAAAACTGGATAACTATATGCAGAAGAATGAAACAATACGCCTATCTCTCACCATACACAAAAATCAAATCAAACTGGATTAAAGACTTAAATCTAAGACCTCAATTGGTGGAATAGGTAACCACAATTCTATTCTCTCTCTTTGTGAGATCTACTTTGATCTCACAAACTATGAAACTACTAGAAGAAAACATGGAAGAAATGCTCACAATTTTTGCATGAGACCTTAAAAGCACCAGCAACCAAAGCAAAAATAGGCAAACGAAAATACATAATCATCAGAGAAATGCAAATCAAACCACAATGATGTATCATCTCATGCCAGTTAAAATGGTTTGTATCAAAAAAAGGCAACTGCAAATGATGCTGAGGATGTGGAGAAACGGGAACCCTCAAACAATGTTAGCAGGAATGTAAATTAGTGTACCCACTATGAAGAAAAGTATGAAGGTTCCTCAAAAAAAAAAAAACAAACAAGTAAATTACCATATGATCCAACAATTCCACTACTATACATATATCCAAAAGAAAGACAATCAATACATTGAAGGTCTGTCTGCACTCCCATATTTATTGCAGCATTATTCACAATAGTCCAGAAATCCTCCCACGTCAATTTCACTTAACAGATGAATGGATAAAGAAAATGTTATTCAGTGCACTGGGAGCATGGGGAGGAAAAAAGATTAAAAAAAAAAAA